GTGCCTCTCCAAGCCGGACATTAGTACATTAAATGTTATTCAAAAAATAACGGCATAAAAAATTGTACATTCAAGAGGATATGGGAAAATAATGAGAAACCGCACGTACCTTTTTAAAATGAGGTATTAATCAATGATAATTATCACAAAACTTGTTGGCGTACGTCAATCACATCGCAACTAATATTACACCACCCAGTTATGCCAACATTATTACATTTTTACCAACTATTCCACCAAATCATTGCCCCAAAAATATCAGAAGGCGGATTTAGAAGCATATCAACGGAGAGAATTTTATGCAACCAAATAATGTGGAATAAATAAAAATTATTTACTTTAAAAGATATTTTGAGTTTTAAAGCTTCAATAAAGAATCAGATTTAAACAAACCGTTTTAATAACCTCTTTTATATAAAACAAAACGTAAGAAACATCCAAATGTAAAATACAAAAATACTATAAATTAAACAGAAATGTGCAACAACAGTTAATAAAAAATTTAATAAACACAAGATAAATGCTCTCTTATGTGGATAAGAAGCTCAAAACTATAACTAAACTAAAATTTGTGTATTTATATAAAATTTGACTATGCTTATGCAACTTTCTTACTTTATGTGTAATGCTCATTGGGAGTTGCATAACTTCAGGTCCATTTTGCAAATAAAGTAATTCAAATTGTTTCGGCGTTTTTAATAACTTCCTAACTAACTAATAATTTGTTCTTTGATTAAAATATAGATAAAAAAGTATTAATAACTGCATAAGTAGTTGAAATTTAAGAGAATGATAGCTCGAAATAAAAAGAAACTGTTTTCATTGATGCTATCTGCTTTTAATTGATAAAATTTCATTCTAAACAAATAAAAAGTAGTATGTGAATTTCAATATTGAATTAGTTACGCTTAGCAATTTTATACAAACTTTATTTGTGCTTATACAATCCTTTGAACTTATGTGTGGTGTTATCTGAAGTTGCATAAACTCACGTCCATTTCGTGAATTAAATAATCCAAATTGTATTGGTACCATTCAAATAAATACTTTAAATGACAAGAAAATAATCATAATTATTACAAATTTTGTTTGTGGAGTAATCCACAACCAAAAAAATATTAATAATCGCATGTTTGTAGCTTTCTCAAATTAGCAGGATTTACCATTACATTGATTTTAGTAAAAACTAATACTATCGAGTTTAAACGAAAGAAAATGTTTCCGAAAGCTGACACAATCAAAACTAATACGCAAATTACTTTTGTAATACATACAATATAATTAAAAATAAGCCGATTATATTTATATTTTATATTAATTAATTTTTTCTTAATACTGTAAGAAACTTAAATAATAGGTCACGAAATGTAAAGAATTCATTATTAACAATTAATAAAGAAGTCAATAAACAAATGAACACAATTTAAACGTTCAAAGAAGCTTAAAACTATTAAAAACAGTATTTTAATAACTTTATTCAAAATTTAGTTGTACTTATGCAACCCTTTGAACTCGCTTGTGATGTTTTTGAGAGTTGCATAAACTCACGTCCATTTCGTGAATTAAATAATTCAAATTGTATTGGCGCCATTCAAATAAATACTTCAAATGGCAAGAAAATATTTATTTTATTACAAATTTTGTTTGTGAAGTAACCTACAGTCAATGAAACATTAGTAACTGCATGTGTAGTGTACTCTCAAATTAACATGATCTTAGTAAAAATTAAAATTATCGAGTTTAAACGAAAGATATCGTTTCCAGAAGTTTACACGTTGAAAAGTAAAAAATTGGTTTTGTAATACATATAATACAAATATGAATAAGCTAATAGTATTTATATTAATGTATTTCTTTTTATAACTTTTAATCTCGTAAAAATTGTTAACTTCAGCATCATTTTGATAAATCGGGAAATAGGTCAACTTTGCGTGTTCATCTGCGTCTCTTATTAACACATAACTAACTTAGCAATGTATGGAATCTCACTGTTTTAAATCGCTCGCAACAAGTTTATTTTTAGGAAGAAACCGTGACGCATTATGTGCGCGATCGCCGCAATTTCCTTTTCGTAAGGCAAAGTTTAAGCATGATACTTACCTGCTAATTTCCTTTTACCTTTTCCTTTTTTCCTTCGATAATTTTCGAAAATATGGCTGAAAGTGAAAAAACTTGCGCGGAATGTAACGAACCCGCTGAATTAATGTGTTCTGCCTGTAAATTAGTGTCATATTGCAGTAAAGAACATCAAAAAGAACATTGGAAAACTCATAAATCACTTTGTAAACCTTTTGAGGTAAGACCAAAATTATTTTATTTTCNGTGGAGTAATCCACAACCAAAAAAATATTAATAATCGCATGTTTGTAGCTTTCTCAAATTAGCAGGATTTACCATTACATTGATTTTAGTAAAAACTAATACTATCGAGTTTAAACGAAAGAAAATGTTTCCGAAAGCTGACACAATCAAAACTAATAAAAGATTTTAAGAAATGAAGGGATATTTAGAAGCAAAAACAGGAGTAATGAGCGGCAGAGGAAGACTTAGATTAGATTATTGTTCACAAATATTAGGAATGTGCGAAGTTCTAGTTTTCGGAAAATGAGATGATTAGCTCATGATAAGAAAGAATGGAATGTGGTGATGACGTATTAATTGATGTTCGGTAATTTAATTAATTTATTTTCCATTTACTCACCCCCATCGCGATATCGTCGACTTGTCGAAGAGTGCTTAGAACGATGCTTGTTAGGTACGTGGGTGTCAGGTCGGGTATGCACTCTTTGACGAGGCCCCCGAATATATAACACACCCTGTTGACGTTATGACATATGCGGGGTATGAGACGGGCGAGGAAAAACAAATCATCCCAATCGGGCTCATGTTCGCTACTTATGCCAACCACATAACTATAAGAGCGACAGTCACCCTGCACCCCTACACTACGAATGGGTAACAATGTTGCTGCCAGCTTCTGTTTGCTTGATATTCGACGTAACGTCAGTCTGTCATAAAAGAATACATTTTTTATTTTGTATAAGAATAAATGTATAAATGGTTAATGTAGCGTTTTAATATGTGAGCAAGAAAGTAGCCCTGAATCTGGTTCTTTAGAATTCAGGAGTGTTCTACTGGCATCCGTTTGATTTTGGAGGATGGTATCAGTGACTAACTTTTTGAGAAAAGTGGGTCACTTTCTTAATCCTCCGAAAAATTTTAATAATTCAGTAAATGAGAGAATAAAATACTTTTACTAAATCCTAACACATACTTTAAACTACATTAAATGGATACCTTTCTTCTTCTGTTGTCACGACTCCCTCCACCCTGTTAAGCAAAGCGTGTTTTTTTTGTAACATTTGGTCGAATTCGACTATGATTTTGACAAGAACCTGTGTCTCTGAAAAATCCCGTTCCATGTACGGTTCCTCGCCACACAACACCCTGATGGCTAACCCAGGACCAGGGAACGGATGCCTCATCACAATCTCATGAGGCAATCCTAGATCTTTACCTTAACAATAAATTATACGTTGTAAAGTTAATTTAATAAATTAATTTTTCAAAATTATCAATTAGTTACCTATTTGTCTGACCTCATCCTTATGAAAGTCCTTTAGTGGTTCGATTACACGCCCATCCTCCCTCAATTTCCTTATTAGTTCCGAGTCATTATGGTGCGTTTTTATCACGTCAGCTTTGCTCGATGCAAGACAGGATGCGGATTCGATAAGATCGGGTCGCAATGTTCCCTGGGCAAGTAAAACGTCCTCGGGTTTCAATTTGAGTTCGGCCACAATTTCGGTCGTGATGCGAACAAAAACGTCACCTATAATTTTTCGCTTTTCTTCAGGATCAGCTGTCTGGCAGAGCATCTTTGTGATGCGAGTGCGAGAGTTGAGCTCGTGCTTGTCTATCGGCACAACCGTTGTTCCTTCGTAAAACGCAGGGGTTGCATTTATCACTTTCAAATCGAGTCCTATTTTGCGGAGAGACATTGCCACTTTGACACTCTCCAGTTTGCGCATGAATCCATTATCTATATGAATTGCAATTACCTGGTCCGGCTGAAGCGCTTTAAAGTAACGAAAAATTATATGGATATTGATTAGTAGTTGTTAATTTTATAGAAAATACTATTATTATTAAAAAATAGGAAAGTATAGGAGTATTAGCACCAAGGAGACAGCTTTATATTCAATGGAATCAGCATTGATAGAAAAATATGGAATGAAAAATAAATAGTAATAAATACATGTATTAGTATGCAGCGTACGTGAAAGAAGGGTAAAAGTTTATATACAAATTAGAGACGAAAAAGTAGAAGAAGTCACTGATTTTCGGTATCTAGAAAGTCAAAAAACAAGAAATAAGAAAAAAAACTACAAAAAATTTAAAATAATTCATCAATAATCAATAACGATGTCAACCAAAAAATAAATAAACACAACAAAAACGTTCAAAAAAGCTTAAAACAATTAAAAAGTATTTTTGTAATTTTGTACAAAATTTAGTTGTGTTTATGCAACCCTTTGAACTCATGTGTGATGTTTTCTGGAGTTGCATAAACTCACGTCCATTTAGTGAACTAAATAATTCAAATTGTATTGGCGCCATTCAAATAAATACTTCGAATGGCAAAACAATAATTATTTTCTTGCAGATTTTATTTGTTAATTATACTATTATACTGAATTCAGTAAAAAATAAAACTACTGAAACTTGTACAAAAGAAGTCGTTATCAAAAATTTACATAAATAAAAATATTGGTAAACAGGTTGAGATATGGTCTTATAGAAGGATGATGAAAATACTGAGTAGAGAGGATTAAAAGGCGAGATTTATTGAAAACAGAAGGAACTATGAAAATGGTAAGATGATGCTAGGACTCCTTCTGAAACATGAACGGCTACTTAGAGAAGCATTAGAAGCAAAAAAAATAAGCAAAAAGGGCTAGCGCATAACCTAGACTAGGTTACTTTTTGCAGATAGTTGGGCATTAATAAGTCTTTGTACTGACGACTTTGTGACAATGATTAGTTAATGCAGGTATACCTTTGTGTAAAAGAGCTGCACATACTGCGCTGTCGACACCGCCACTGACCAGTACGAGGACTTTGCTCGACCCGACAGCTTCCTTGATATACCGAAGACAATCGTGTTCGCGACCGTTCATCGTGAAGTTTCCAGTTAGACTGACCACGTCGAAAAGGAAGTTCTTTAACATTGTCTTTCCATTGGCGGTAAGGTCGACTTCCGGATGGAACTGCAGTCCATACAGCCGGAGCTTCTCGTTGTAAATTCCAACACAGAATGATCCGTTTTGCGCGATCGACTTGAAATTGTCCGCTATTTTATCTATCGTGTCGCCGTGAGTCAAGAGGACTGTTTGTGTCTTGTTCATTCCTCTGAAATTCATTGATTAATTAATAATCTCTCGTTTTGACATACGATTTACCAACTTACTTAAACAATAGGCATTTATTATCTACTTCTATATTAACTTGACCATCTTCTCTGTTATCCTTTCGTACTACAGTGCCTCCAAATTCTTTGTTCATCATTTGCATTCCATAACAAATACCTAATAATGAACAAAGTCGTTTTTACCAATCTGTGTAATTGTCATAAAAAATAAAAATATTGACCTAAGACTGGCAAACCTATCCTAAATATGTCAGCATCGTATCGCGGTGCGTCCTCAGCATAGACCGAGTTTGGACCTCCGGATATTATGATCGCTCTGTATCCGGCTTCTTTGATGTTGAATGCTGGCGTGTCCAGGGGTAGGATGTCGCTTTCAACGGACAATTCTCGAACATTTCGATCAATCACCTTGCCATATTGTGCACCAGCGTCTAAGATTGCGACCTTTTCCGAATTCGTAGCACCATTCGTGTTCATGTACTGGTTTTCAGGACTTAGGTTGGGCATAGTGCTATTCCAGCAACACTGAAAAAAAAACCAAAACACAAATCAATTCTCGCTTAATAATCAGAAATAAATGTAGTTATGAAGATGTTATGGCATTTCACTTACTAAAAATACCATCATGTTTAAGCACATGTGCAAAACAGAGAGTCGTAGAAGAATGCAAAACACTTAATAGAATTAATGGCCACTAATGCATACCGTTGACCAGCAAATATCTACATACATGTATACGTTAACATTAACTTAGATAATTTAATTAAAAGGCAACTTCTCTACACTAGGTACTTAATAGTACGTGTCTGCGTACCTACACAGGGTGTATTGCACTAGATTAATACCATTTTGCATTCCGAATAAATATAGTTAATAAAGCCAGTAAAACGTTTTTCATTTTTAAGTAGATATACATTTTGTTAAAAAAATCCAAAAAAGCGTTACAATTTCTTGCATTATGATCTAACAATCTTCGCCACATTAAAATATCGCAAAACTTACAAAAAGGCAAAAAAGTTAAAAAACCAATTTACAAAAAAAAATAACGTCGAAAAACAAAAATTGAACACCCTCAAGCATACGAACACTGAGTTACCAAGGAAAACAAATTCATGTCGCATGTCATAGTAACAATTATACCTCTCTAACGTAATCGGCTATTTTATTATATATTGTACTAGTGCTTAAAAACATAATGAAAAATGACTGTAAGCATAAAAAATCGAAATACGACAAAGGCTCTTAGTCTAATTTTAAATACTAACTGAAGGTAAACTGTTCAAATGCGCATCAGTCTATTTTGTTGCTCGATCCGAATAGTATTTCGTCTAAAATAGAAACTCAATGACAATTGTGCGCGAGGCAAGTTTAATTTAATTTCATTTTATTTCCTTTCAATAGTCTCGTAAACAGCATCCCCTCGGGGGTAAGTTTAAAATAGAAACGGTCAAATAGTGCGCATACAAAACTACAATGATTTTCTTACTTTAAAAAAACTAATGTTTATAGCTGAATAAAAACAAAAATTTGAGTAATTCAAATTTAAACGTACGTTTTCAGTGTACGTTAAGATTCTGTACATAAGCGACAATTTTTATGAG